TAACATCGCTGTATATAAAACTATATATTCTTTTATATGGTTTAACTATTAGATATTTTCGTTATTGATTATATATTTTACTGTTCTTTTCCAATAAATTTAACAAAAAAAATAATCGGAATAGCTACGCAGCCTTCTTATATAATAACTTCTCTCTCGTAGCCTTTCTTCTACGCTTCTTCTCCTATTCCTTTTCCTTTCTTTTTATCTAGAGAAAACTCTGCTTCAGGCAGAGACAGCGAGACAAAACAGAGCAAGAAGAACACAGTTATAACAATGGCTGTCACAAAACTTATCCTCTTTGTTTGTGCACTACTTGCAACAACGCTATTTATCGGCGTCAGTTCATCCAGGTATCACTTATTAATAACATTCACTAGTTAGATGTCCATTGAAGGTTTCTAGCACACCGCAGCTACATTTTTACGTATTATATGGAACCAATCAACTAAGCTTCTGATTACATATCATCAACGGTTAAAAAAATAGTCAAATTCTCATAAATCAAACATATAGATCATTTCATCACTATGATATTAGTGTATTATATTGTATAGTTATTTCAATCGTGAAGAACAGAAGATAGGTGATAGTCTGTAGTATGATATATCATGTTAAAGATATAATTGTATTGTTTATTATATGATTTACAGGTCGAATGAAACATTGCATGAACATGCAGTTGAGAAACCAGAGGAAGTAGCTGCCATGGTGGACATGTGAGTTTCTCTATAAACAAAATTATATTCCACGAATACAGATCATTTTCATCACAACGATAAATAAATATATGCCTATATACTGTACACAATAAATGTGACCTTTTTCTTATTCTCACACTCCTCACATGCAAGTCTATTGTGGATTCCTCATAAAAGGCAATAATGCATGTTGATCATATAAAAGTATCTAAATATTAAAAAGAAATGTGATATTTTAGGTAGTGAAAAATGTAGTGTGTATTATTGAGTGAAGCATTGGTCCAGGCTAGAGAACATGTGTAATGTTTTTCAATATTAATCTTTGCAACAATGATTGGCCAGCCACATGCACATGCTCATGCCACATGCAGTGACGCGTACACTTCATGACATGTGTTGTCTTTTTTTTTTCTTTGCCTTTTAACTTGGATTTTTCTTTGAACCGACGGATTATATCTTAGCTTCAACAGTACGAAAAGCTTATTGCATCTAGACTTTTTCTTCACCTGTTTTGATTTTCAGTACAATAAAATTTTTGGTCAACAAAGGCTAACTAATAATCATATATATATCCTTGAGAACGATCCAAGTTATATGAGATCATTTAAGCCCAACCATAGACCCAAACCCATAGGCATGTTCTCAAAAAAAAAAAAACCCATGGACACAACCCCATGTATGTTTTTTTTTTTTTTTTTTGGTCAAAAACCCCATGTATGTTTTTAATCTCTACTTTTCCTGGAATTCTCATTTTTTTTCTTTAGTGAAAGTAAAATTTATTCAAACAAAAAACATGTTTACATCAAGTACTATCTATTCTGATAGTGTTTTGCTGATTTTTTTTTTAAATTAAACAAATAATCTAATTTCTCTTTCTTTGAGAATTTCTGGTGACTTGATTTGTGTTTGTGTCCTAATCATTAGAAACATTTTACACTGCCTATATTCGGACTTTTAAGCAGACCATAATACATTGGAAACAAAAAAAAAAGCTTATGTGAGATATTTTAAACATATCAACTAATAAACTATGTGTACAAGTCTATTTTTTCATTTTGTTATATAAAAATCTTAAGAAGGTTAGTTTACTATTTGAGCTCCCAAAAGTAACACAATTAAAATATTTCTTATTTGGAATTATAAATAACTAAATGTATTAATATTGATAGAAATCTTCTATGACTCGGTTAACTATATAGTATTAATACAATTGTCAAAATAATTAAAAATTTAAAATCGAGAAAATTGACCTACATAATTTTAAAAATTTCTTAACTGAATTTCTTTTACATTAAAAACATTTATGTTCTCTTTATTTATTTATTTAAATATTTTATCCAGTAAATTTTCAAAAATGATATTTCACTAAACGGTAAACCACTATGGTTATGATACAGGGCCATTCGTAACAGCACAGAGCGTCGAAGACTAGGCTACTTCTCCTGCGCCACGGGCAACCCCATCGACGACTGCTGGCGCTGCGACCGCAAATGGCAACTCCACCGCAAACGCCTCGCCGACTGCTCAATCGGCTTCGGCCGCAACGCCATCGGCGGCCGCGACGGGCGTTACTACGTCGTAACCGACCCTAACGACGACGACCCCGTCAACCCCGTCCCTGGAACGCTCCGTCACGCCGTGATCCAGAACGAACCGCTCTGGATCATCTTCAAACGCGACATGGTCATAACGCTGAAACAAGAACTGATCATGAACAGTTTCAAGACCATAGATGGACGTGGCGTCAACGTCCACATCGCAAACGGCGCGTGTCTGACGATACAATACGTTACGAATATTATAGTGCATGGGATTCATATTCATGATTGTAAGCCTACGGGTAACGCGATGGTTAGAAGCTCTCCTTCGCATTATGGGTGGAGATCGATGGCTGATGGTGACGCGATCTCGATCTTTGGGTCGAGTCATGTTTGGATTGATCATAACTCGCTTTCGAATTGTGCTGATGGGCTTGTTGATGCTGTTATGAGCTCCACTGCGATCACTGTCTCGAATAATTTCTTCACTCACCATAATGAGGTATACACTTTATTTAGGATGGTTTAGGGAGTGTTTATAAAGACTGACCGACCCGATGGTTGGACCAGGTTCGACCATGAACCGGTACATAGTTGTACCGGTTGGATCTAATAACTGGTTTGACCATGGATTAGTCGGATTAGATATCAAACCGAATAAAAATCATGAGAATCACCAAAAATCCATAAACTAACCATATAACAAAAAAAAAACTCGTTTATATTACAACTTTTTATATTTGTATTTATTTATTTTTTTTGTATTATGTATCTTATTTATTAACATTATTTTTAAATTTATATATTAAAATATGTCGAACCAAAATTTAAATTTAAAATTATTTTTTATTATGTATTCTATTTATTAACATTATTTTAAATTTTATGTAACAAAAATATATCATACCAAATAATTGAACCAGGTTTTATCCGTTTGAACCTTATCAAACGGTGAACCAAATAATTATCCGGTTCGGCTCTGGTTTTGAAAACATTGGTATATTGGAATTGAAAATTGGGGTTTTAGTAACGGTTGCGTGTTGTTTAGGTTATGTTGTTGGGGCATAGTGATTCATACACAAGGGACAAAGTGATGCAAGTTACAATTGCTTACAACCATTTTGGTGAGGGTTTAATCCAGAGAATGCCAAGGTATGAACTTCAAGCTCTACTAGTTGTATATATGGTTTGAGAGGTTGTGTAGGTTCTAAAGGGAAGTAAATAAACCCTATATGGTGTTTGCAGGTGTAGGCATGGATACTTTCATGTAGTGAACAACGACTACACGCACTGGGAGATGTATGCTATTGGTGGTAGTGCTGGCCCAACTATTAACAGTCAGGGGAATCGATTTCTTGCTCCAACTAACCCATTTGCTAAGGAGGTATGGTTCGATATTTTTCAAGTGTGTTGATGCCAAACCATATTGCACTATTGTATAAGGATGAAACATAACACACAAATTGCGTTGATCTTCTTAACACGATTTGATTGCAATGAGACTGATTGATTGGTGAATGGCAGGTGACTAAGAGGGAGTACACAGGACAATCTAAATGGAAGCATTGGAATTGGAGATCAGAAGGAGATCTTTTCTTGAATGGAGCATTTTTCACACGTTCTGGAGCTGGAGCTGGAGCGGGTTACGCCAGAGCTTCGAGTTTGTCAGCCAAATCATCCTCACTCGTAGGCACCATGACCTCTTACTCTGGTGCTCTTAACTGCAGAGCCGGTCGCAGGTGTTAATAGATCAAATAATCAGTAAACCATTTTTCTTGGGTTTTGAAGAAACAAGTCGACAAGTTTTACTGAATCTCTCAGCCTCTCGTTTTCTCTTCTTTATTTTAACTTTTGGGGTTCATGCGATATAACATTTCCCTATATTGGATGCGGAGGCCTAGTTTAAACGCCCTCAAGTGTAATATAAAGTTGTATGAATATTCTTGTCACCTACGTTGATATAAAGTTGTTTCTTTAGTGTTTATCTTGCTTCTAGTGGTCTTAAAACACTAAATGAAAGCTTAGTTAGTACTTGGTGGGTTAATTCAAAAAGAATCAATAGTGGAATGGTAGAAGGAAGTCAAATGTGGTAGGGACATGTGGAACTTAAGAAGGAAACATTGAAGAGACAAGAAGCACATGAGATTGCATTTCATGACTCATGCAGACAAGGATGGAAATGTTCTTCTAGGAAGATGAAGAAGGGTCTCTTTTTGAGCCATGTGATGTTTGGTTGGCCAACGATCATGTTATTGCTTCTCCTCCATTATATCACAACCAGATTTGAACTAGTTTAATTTGTCTTATTAAACTAGTTTAACAACTTTTTTAGTCCGTGTGCAAAATTTAGTTTTAACAATTTTTATGAAATTGAGAAATTCATGCTAATGAGCATTTAAAAATAATTTCGAAGTCTGAGTTTTCAAGAATGAAAGAAAGGAATGAGAACTATATTAAAAGTACTAGCAGACATATTCGTACGCTGAAATTTGTATAAAACTCATTAATGATAATTTTAAGACATTCAATACTCCCTCAGTTTCAGATTAATTATTTTTTATTGTTTTTATGTTTTTAATACATTTATTTAGTGTTTTATTAATTTTATTCTTCTTATTTTAGTTCATCAATTAAGATAATTAAATAAAACAATGTATTGATTAAGGTTAAAACATGAAATTTAGTAATTTTGTTAGTGCCAAAAAACTTAAAATGACATATAAAATGAAAATGATGGACTAAGGTATAGTGATGAAGTTTATTAGCTGCAACGACACATCTTAGGATCGTCATAATCCCAGGCAACACATTGGCCAACTCGATATCCTTTACTGGTGCAAGTGTCCGTGCAGTTCCCAACCTGTCTACAGAGTCCAAAGCATTCCTTTTGCGCTTCTACTATTTCTACATTTCACGCATTAACACATAAAAGTGAATTATCATAACACAAAATATTTAATATATCTCACAATTTGTAGACAAAGCGTGCAACTTATGAACCTGGAACCAAAAGAATGACGAAGAAAACTGAAGCAACCACGACCAGGCTCATGAATCCAATCTTGAAATTCATTTTAGATGTATCGTCAGTATATATTTATAAAATTTGCCTTGTATCGTAATCTGTTTTGTACTTATTGTCAAAACAGTATAAGTCTCCTTATATTTATACTAACAAACTGTATAAGTATCTTTTTTTTTTTGATTGAATTCACTAAAGAACAATCTTTTTATTTGTATTAGTTTCCATTGACCAACATTAGCAGATATTTTGTTGCCAAACATAGAATGGGTAGATAATGTTCATCAAATCTATTAATTTACATTCCTATATTTTATCTACTGTTGACAAATCATAGTAGGACCATTAATTTTGTCCAAATAAAAGTAGGACCATTTATTAAATACTTAATGTGACATATTTGATTATTTACATTAAATTTTAACAATAAATAATTTTTCATTAAAATTTTGAATTTTCTTTTTAGTTATAACAAAATCTGTTGAAAAACAAATCTAACAAAATCCTACCAAAATTTTTAATATTTTTTAATAAAATAATACATTATAATTCCGTATTAGGAAGCTAATCTTATTAAAAAATAATGCTAAATAAATTTTATCATAAAATAAAAGAAAAAAGATATGCTATTTTATAAATTTAATAAATATAATCTATGTTATATTAAAATAGATATGCTCTATAGATTAAATATAACAAATTTTTATTAAATTGGTAGGTTAACATAGCTTTTAATGGTTTCATTTAAATAAATTATCATTCATCGTCAAAATGAACTAAAATTCATAAATATGTAAATTTTATAAAAAAAAATTAATTATTAAAATATGTTATAATTTTATATCTACAAATATATATTATCATTTTATTTATTTTAAACTCACCCCAATATATTATCTATAAATAATTATATAAAAAATATAATATTATATAACTAAACTTTAGTTCATGTATTATTATAAAAAATATGTTAATAGAAAAATTAATTAATAATTAATTAAATAAAAGTATTAATTACAAATCAATTTCACTTAGATTTTTTTTTAACAAATTATGTTGATTAAAATATTAAAAATCTTACAAAAAAATCAAATATGTTTTTATAAAATATTAAATTAATTTAGTAACAAAAAATAAAAATCATATAATCTTCCAAACTATAATATAATTGTGTAATTTTAAAAATTTCTCTTTACCAAGTATAAAATTTTAAAAATAAATATTAAAAACTGAAAGTGATAATACTCCAAATTTTATAAAAGATAAAAGCCTAAAATATATATTCTTTTTAAATGCAACACAAAACCTCCTATTATTAAAAGATATAAACTGTAGATGTTAAAATATACTAAAGTCTCTTATAATATTTTCAACACAGTACACCATTCAATATACTTTCTTCTATTATATAATTTATGTCAAATATACCAACAAGTTGGAGATACTCTAAGGCTCTAATTAGTGACCAAGAGAATGAGTGGGAATAATGAATCTCTTATCATTCCTTATGGGTCTAAATGGTAACATAAGGAACGAAGGGGAATAACCAATTCCTACTTATTCCTTAAAAAATACATCATTCATAAGGAATATTTTCTACGTATGATTCCTTGTCATTCTTTGAATTCTAAGGAATTATATAAAAAAAATATTCTTTATCAAAATTGATATGGAACCAAAGTAATAAATATTCCTTTTCATTCCTTTTATTTTGTTCCTACTCATTATTTTCCTACTCATACTTATTCCTATTTTAATGGTCACCAGTTATAGCCTATAATTTACATCATTTACAAAAAAAAAAAATTCCTTATGGTTCTTTAATATTCCTTAACATTTAAGGAATAATAGATTACAATTATTCCTTATCAAATTAGGAGATAAATAGATTTTCTTCTTATTTTATTTCCTCTCATTTTTCTTCTTCTTCATATTCCTTTAATGTTTACCAGTTAAAACTTTGGAATTTTGTGTTGCATTTATAGCATTTATAATTCTTGTTTCAATACACACTCTCATAATTCTATAACATGAGGTTTTGGGTTCAAATTCTAAAGAACGAAAATGATGTATATTATGAAAAAAAAACATTACAAAAGATTTTCATTGTATATTTATTACGAGTATTATATGTGTATAATAAATATTAATGTATATCATGGAGAAAAGCATTAGAAACAAATTATTTCCTAAACTATGGATCATATTGAAACCGAGAGAGTATATAACAATTTTTTTTTTGAAACACTAAAGTTTCTTATTTTTTTGAAATACTACATAACAAACTTACCAATCTTTTTTTGTAGTACCGGAGACAAAAATTGTTAACTATTAAAATTCGCTTGTTCTTTATGAAACAACCAGCTGTTATCAATCAGAGAGATATTTTAACGTGTAATTATCTTGGTTCTGCCAAAGAAACTAATGTGACTGAGACGAAGTTGTCTAGTAGAATAGTACGAAACCTTGTTCGATTATAACCGTACATGGTCCATAGCAGTTTACGTCAATACGGTTTACTAGTAGAATAGTACGAAACCTTGTTCGATTACGACTTGTGCATTGACTGATATTTAGATTTCCTTTTTGGCTTTTTCAGACCTTAATTAATATGTAAATTTGGATGTGTGGGTTATTGTTAGCCATGTGTAGATTATGCGATATGTGTTTTATATATACACCATTATCCTCCATTATTATTGCTAATGAAACGAGAATTTGGTTTGTGAGCGAAACTAGGCAGTCAACAGCTCACACGCTTGTACATATGTTCTAATCGCAGAATTTTAATAACTGTTATTGATAACTGTCAATACATAAACAAAAAAAACATTTAATTAATGGTGTCACAGCAACAGTGATCCACATTTTCCCAGCCAACGCAATTACCAGTTTGGTAGCCCATCCTGATGCAAGCAGTTGCACAGTCAAGAATCATTCCACACACTCCAATGCATTGTGGGTCGGCTTCAACTTTTTCTACATTTCAACCCAACCAAAATAAATAAAAAGAGTACATATAAGTACATAATAATAAGTATCATATTTTGCGTAGTTTGCTATTAAATAGATATGATCATGAGATCTGCAACTCATAGACGGAATAACCTGGAACCGTAAGAAATACGATGAGTACTGAAGCAACCATTAGGAAGCTCATGAATCCAATCTTGCAATTCGTCATCATTGTATTGTGAATGTATTACCTCCTTTTTTTTATCAATTCAATATATCCCTTCGCTTTTGTAAGAGTAAGATGAATCTTATATTGAGTAAAATGTACATATATACAAGGAGCTATACTAGGGTATTACATAAACAATAAATGCTAGGGTATTACATAGACAATAAATGAGAGTATATATTGTGTCCTTGTATACAAAGATCGATTCGTAAATCAATCAATGTTATGATTGCGCCTTAATAGCTTTATATATTATCTTTATATCTTTGTGTTTCTTTTATAGATTTTAAGATTCAAACAGAATCTGATAATAAGAAGGAAAAAAAAAATCATATTTGTATTAGACTATTGGTTACTACGGGCGGATACATTTCAAATATTCTGTTCCTAATAATACTAGTTGCATATTCACCGCGCAAGCGCAGAACCGAAATCATTATGTTTGCGTATATTTTTTTCGATTTAGTGGTTTAGTGGATTCTTCTAATGACACCAAATAGCAAAGAAAGGGAAAGAATGTAGTAAGAGTGTAAAAGTGTAAATATTGTATATCTAATGTGTTAAATGTTATTTATATGCGAAGTAAGGTTTATAAGAACAGTTAGGTTATAATATAGTTTTTAGTGTCTAAAAGTAGGTGTCTATTTTTTTGTTTTTTTGCTGTAAATAGTTTTTATATCGTATGTTAAAACTTGATATAATTCTATACTTATAGTATTTATATTTGAATTAAACGATTTATCAATTTAAAAATAACCTTAATTGAGTTAATATTCGTTGTTTAAGTTTCATTAGATAGGTTTTTATATATGGTTTTTTGTAAGTTTGGGTTTGTTCATAAATGATGGGGCATTTTTATCTACGGCGTCATCAAGGAATCCATTCGCCGAAGTCTAGAGTCGGTGGTGAGGAATGTTTTCAATGAAATTATAGTAGCTATTAAAATGTAAGAGAAATTACATATTCATTTAATAAATAACGAAAATACTTAAATTTTGTTGTTTATTTTATTTTATTTCACATACAGTTTTTTTGAAAATATATTAGGAATGAGTTAAATGTTATTTATATGCGAAGTAAGTTTATAGGAATAATTAGGCTATAATATAGTTTTTAGTGTGTAAAAGTAGGTGTTTTGTTTTTGCTGTAAATAGTTTTTATATCGTAGGTCAAAACTTGATATAATTCTATATTTATAGTATTTATATTTGTATTAAACGATTTATCAATTTGAAATAACCTTAATTAAGTTAACATTCGTTGTTTAAGTTTCATTAGTTAGGTTTTTATATATGTTTTTTTGTAAGTTTGAGTTTTGTTCATAAATGATGTGGCATTTTTATTTACGGCGTCATCGACTGTGGGAATCCATTCGCCAGAGTCTGAAATCGGTGGTGAGGAATGTTTTCAATGAAATTATAGTAGTTATTAAAATCTAAGAGAAATGACATATTCATTAAATAAATAACGAAAATAATTAATTTTTGTTGTTTTTTTATTTTATCTCACATACAAATTTTTTGAAAATATATATTAGGAAATATGTGCAATGATTTCACTTTTTGAACTCTTAATCTATATTATTCAAGCCTCATTAAGCCATCCACGTAGGTAGCCGCGTGGGATTCACTTCTTCTTTTTTTGGTCGGTTCGTTTTTAGATTCATTTTTTATTATTTTTGGGTTGAATTATATTATAATAGGATAGTTTTAAGGCTCTTTAAGCCATCCGCGTAGGCAACCGCGTGAGACTTGTTTTTTTTTGTTTTTTTATTGTTGGTTTTTGCATCCATTTTTAACTATTTTAGTTTGAACTCGTTAAGTTTTAGAGTTTATCCAACTATTTTGATCTTTAAAACAATAAGTCATAAAAAAAACATAAAAACCTTACAAACAAAAAGCCCATATGATAATAACCCAAATAAAAAAATCAAAAATAAATGATGGCTGCATGGTTTGAACCCACGATCTTGCATGCTTAATTAGACACCTTATACCACTTGGCTAAAGTGTATTTCATTGTTTGTAATCATCTTACCAAGACTATAAGTTTTTAAAAAATACCTATGGGACCCACAAAACTGCTGACGTGACGCGTTGTGGAGTCTAGAAAGTGTACTATTATAATATAGATAGCTGGATATTTGCGTTACTATCCCCTATATATTAATTGAGGAACATTTGAAAAGATGTAACCTTAATTTTGTATTAATTAAAAGAGGTCCCAATGCATATGTGTCATTCAATTAGGTAGTCAATTAGATTCAATTGAAAAATAAGTAAGTCCACATTGGATTTTTATAGGTTACTAGATACATTAGTTTAGTCAAACTATATGATATAATGATATGATATGCTATTTTCTTTCCATAAATAAAACCTACGGAATTACCATAAATGACTAATATATATGACACTTAATGATTGTTCCCTAAGATATAATTACTATTTTATTTTATTTCCATAAATAAAACCTACAGAATTACCATAAATGACTAATATATATATATGACACTTAATTATTCTAATAATAAATATTTGATAACAGTTTATATATCCTCCATCATTTTTCTTTAATTTTATATTATTAAAATAAATTAAACAATCAAATTAGCTATAAAATTAAACTTTAGATTTTTTCGTATAGGTTATATTTTGAATTTTAAGAAACGAGAATAAATGACTAAACTATTAAAATATTATGTTAAAAATTAATGATCAATAGTTTAACATTTTATTATGAAAAGATATACATGATTTTAAAACCATATAAGTAAAAAGTATCATTCAATAATAAAAAAAAATATATATACAGATTAAGATTACATAAATATTTTAATTTCAAAATTTTCAATAAATTTTCAAGAACATTTATAAATTATAAACTTATTAAATTTTTCACATTGAAATTTTTTGTTATGAATGATTTAAATATCTTAGTTCTTTTTTTAATTTTATATTTTTAAAAGATATTAACAATCGATAATATGGTTATTTTTGGTATATACCATACAAACCGAATGGATGTGATTTTATAAAAACCATAGGATTTGGGTATGGTTTGATTTATAATCGATTAAACTGAAACATGTAAATATGTATATATTTATAACGACGCATGAATATCTATTTGTTCCATGAGTTGAACTATAATTAATATTTGTAAATAGCTAACAATTTATTACAACTAAGACTTCTTATTTTGATCTTTTGCGTTTTTAACAGTAACTAAATTGAAGTAAAGATTATAAATTTGATGGACAACAATTAGTTGAAATTCTTTACAACTTTTTTTTTTTATCTTTAAACAAATAAATTTGTGTTCAATCGAAGACATATTGGTTTGATGAACACTAAATATGGAAGAATATAAAAACTTTTCTTTCATGCTTATGTTTTGTTTTTTATTTTTATTTTCAAAATTTAGTGTTTTGATATTAACTCTAGATTTGATCATTTTATTAGATGATAGAAGCCTTTTTTGTTTTTTATTCTTTTATTTAAATATATAATATATTTTTAATAAATGACTCTGTGACAATATGACTCTAAATATGATCATATTATATATTTGTATAATATATAATATGATCTCAAACTAAATAATTATGTTTTTTTGTATAAAATTGAATAAACTGAAAACCGATGGTATATAAACAAAATCAAACTGAATTTCTAGTTAAATACTATATATACTATTTATCATCTTTCGTGTTGTTTAAAAAATAGCTAAACCCACTCCAAATATTTATATATGTTGGCTAAACTTATCTTTGTGGTACATGTGAATCATTTCAAATTTTCCAATGATTAATTTATTTAACATTCATATACCACTTAATATGTGGATTAACCCCAATAAAAATTCTATATTATGGAGAAACGAAAACATTTAAGGTTTCAAACCAATTTAATATTCATACTATAGCGGTGTATGATGTAGCTATGCATTAAAACAAAAATTCCATTTTTGATAATTTTTCTTGAAATATGTGGGCTAACCCCTATGAAAAACCTGAATTTCTAGTTAAATACTATATATACTATTTATCATCTTTCGTGTTGTTTAAAAAATATCTAAACCCACTCCAAATATTTATATATGTTNTATGCATTAAAACAAAAATTCCATTTTTGATAATTTTTCTTGAAATATGTGGGCTAACCCCTATGAAAAACCTGAATTTCTAGTTAAATACTATATATACTATTTACCATCTTTCGTGTTGTTTAAAAAATAGCTAAACCCACTCCAAATATTTATATATGTTTGCTAAACTTATCTTTGTGGTACATGTGAATCATTTTGAATTTTCCAATGATTAATTTATTTAACAATCATATACCACTTAATATGTGGATTAACCCCAATAAAAATTCTATTTTCTGGAGAAAAGAAAACATTTAAGGTCTCAAACCTATTTAATATTCATACTATAGCGGTGTATGATGTAGCTATGCATTAAAACAAAAATTTCATTTTTGATAATTTTTCTTGAAATATGTGGGCAACCCCTATGAAAAACCTGAATTTCTAGTTAAATACTATATATACTATTTACCATCTTTCGTGTTGTTTAAAAAATAGCTAAACCCACTCCAAATATTTATATATGTTTGCTAAACTTATCTTTGTGGTACATGTGAATCATTTCAAATTTTCCAATGATTAATTTATTTAACATTCATATACCACTTAATATGTGGAT